ACACTAGAGTCTTTTGGACAGCATAGACACATGATCAATTCCACACCTTTCCTCAGCCAAGGTTTGTTTTTATTATTATTATATTTTAATCCTTACCCAAGGTTATGTTTGTTCAATTTAGAGGGAAATGGGAGGAAAATAGAGTGATGTAAGGTAGAAACTTTGATCGTTTCCTTCTGTATGCAGTCCAACTTGGAATAGTCACCCAATATATGTATGTACCCTGACCAAGAATCAAACTGACAGCTATTTGGTGTATGGGACGATGTTCCAACCAACTGGGCCACCAAACCAGAGCTCGGGCGTGTCACTACAAGTTTTGGGCTCCTCTGCATCACAGAGCTTCACCTTCTCGTTGTCCCAACTACAGTGTTTTTCTTGAAGAGTTCTTGCCCCAACAACAATCTTGTGGCCTAGTCATTGTGTTGACTCCCTCAGGGCAGTGATTTTTTGTCTGCTCCTCTATTTTGTGTTGACTCCTCCCTTCTCACCCTGGAGTGCCCCCTACCAGTGCTCATAATCTGTAGCTATATTACCAGATGAGGTTCAGGCCTGGAGTGTGTAGGCCTAAGACTGACAGCCGTGTGTGTGTTCTTGATTTCATGCAGGAAAGTTCCAATGTATTTTAGAGTATGTTTAATATGGCAGGGACAGTGAAAGAAAGGAAAGTCTTGGGTTAGGAGAAACAACAGAATACAGCCTGAGCGGACCTTCTGTTAGCTCACTGAGAAATAAAAGTCACAATAAAAGAAATGCATGAAGCAGGGGCTGCTGTTCGCTCTCTGAAAAGTCAAGAAAAAGGGGGCCTTGGAGACAGCTTCAGGGGGTAAGCTTGGGACAAGGTGCAGCTGCCCATTTCTCACCTGGTTGTAAGTCTCATGGTAACTCTGAATTAAAGATAAAAACAGCAGAGATACACGTGTGAGCATGCTGTAGCAAAAGGTTGCCATGGATTGTTTGTGTTGAGACTTACTACATTTGTTTGGCTTACATTTTTTGGTTAAAAAAAGGTCTCAGGCAATTTTCTCAACAGAATATTCATCAGTGTTCCAGGATTTTCCTTCCAGGGTCGTGTTGTTCAATGATTGGTGGACACCAGGGCCGGAGCTCATTAGTCAATTCAGCTGATCCTGAGGACAGTCACTGCATCACGTGTCTGGATTCGTGGCTTTTCTTGGCTGCAGCTGAAACACCATTGAAATGTTGATGTACGAGAGGGGTCTCCAAAAACTGGTATTTATTTAAAAGAAGTTGTTTATTTAGTCTTACATGTTTAAACTTCAGTCACCTTCAAAATACTCTCCATTTGATGCAATACACCAATTGAGACCTTTCTTCCACTGCTCAAAACAGTTTTTTTAACTCATTGATATTGATGAGTTTTAGTGCTCCTGACGTTTTTGGTTTCACCTCTTCCATATCAGGAGAATGTTTTGCTTTGAAGACTTTTATTTTTTTAATCTGCAGAAACAAAAAAAGGGCACTTGGAATAAGTTTGGGTGACTAGGGAGGGTGGGGCATGGTCATCATGCTGTTTTAGTCAAAAGCTGCTGAACACTCAGCACAGTGTGGGCAGGTGCGCTCACAGATCGACCATCATGAAATTAGCAAAATTGTTGAAAGAGTCCTCAAAAAAATGACTGAAGTTGAACGCAGCCTCTCACAACAAAACCAGAAGGTACACTGATACAAATGGGTTCCGAGAACACTCACCTAGCAAGGGAAACCTGTACTACAAGGGCCCCCCATTCAGAACATAATTCCGGTTATTTTAGGGTCACTCCTTATATTTGAGCATCAGAACCTCATTGTTCTGGGTGCTTAACAATTAAGGTCTATTCTCTGGCCCTATTTTTAGTACACCATCTAAGGTGGTCTTCAGCATGAATACTGACAAGCCAAGATCGTGAGAAACCCTGGACTTGATGACCAGAGATATGAAAGGTCAGGGGCCAAGGTCCTTCCTCAGTTTTTCCTGTTGCTAGACATCTGGGGCTTCCATCCTGGTGACCGTCTGTACCTGGCCTATCATCCTCGCTCTGTGCATATCTATCTAGCTGCCTACCACAATTACATGCATGCATGTATGTGTACTTGGGTGTGTCTGTGTGTATATATGTGTGTCTATGTACACATGCATATGTGTGATTATGTGTATGCACATGAAACTGTGTGTCCATGTGTCAAATTAGACTAAGGGGCACAGAGTCATTTCAGGGGCATAGGGGCTCCCAGGTTGAAGAGAAAGGCTCATGGACAGGCAGACAGGAAACAGAACAGGAAATATGGCCAAGGGAGAGGTTGACATCAGGATCCTGTGGAAACAGATAGCCTGAGCTAAAAGTGCAGATATATTAAAAATGGGGGAAGAGTGCCACAGGGGGCATATTGTTCAGAAGTGTGTTTTATCATCAGGGAAAGGGCAGGCCTGGGGCAAGAGCTGAAAATGTGCAAGGCAGTTTCAATAGCCATGGTAGTGTGTCTAAAATTCAGTTCTGTTACATGATTGCTCTCAAAGCCAGGTGTATGTTGGGTGGTTGTGGTGTCACCAGTTGTGTGTAGGAAAGCTAAGGCTGATTTCCAAGATTCATGACGTTCATCAGCCAAGCTTTCTTTCAAGTAATCAAAATGCCAGTATCAGTAGGTGCAAATACCCTAGGTCCTGTGTGAATGCTAAAGCGGAGCCTGGGCAAGGTAAGGTGGCAGGGTGAGGGATGGAAGGCAGGCGGGCCTTGAGGTGTTCTGAAGGCAGAAGGATGTAGAAAACGAGGATGGGTATGGTAGGGGGAAACGGAAAACAAGGGATATCTGGAGTGTGGGGTGCCCAGAAAAGAATCTAGAAAACAGATGTGAAAGTGAGATGGTGTGGGCAGTAAGATAGGCAAAGCCCAGAGGAACACAGAAAAGAGGGTGAGAGGGGAGGGTGCAAGAAGAACGGAGCAGAGAAATGTGAAAAGTGCCACTACCTAGAAGAAAGGATGTCTCTCGAGGTGAGGATATATCTTATAGAGGTTGGGACTACTTGTTCACACTTTCATTTAATTTTCATACTAAAAGGGGCCTCAGTCATAGTTCATGCTCTTAAAACTGTAGGTCTAACAGGTTTCTTATGGACAGCATAGAGACTTGTTCAAGTTTACACCTTTCCTCAACCAAGGTCTGTCTTTATTATTATTGTTTTTTTAATCCTCACTAAAATATGTTTATTCATTTCAGAGAGAAAGAAGAGAGAGAGAGAAATGGGGAGAGAGAAACACCAATGTGAGAGAAACACATCAATCGGTTGCCTTGATGATGGCTAGAATGAGCCACCTCTGTATGTTTCCTGACCCGGAATCAAATCCACAACCTTTTGGTGTAAAGGACAACACTCCAATCAACTGAGCCACTTGGCCAGAGCCAAGGTCTGTCTTTAAAGTTCTTGGGGGATTCTCTGCAGCACAGGACTTCATTTTTCCTTTGTCCCAACCATAATTTTACTTTAGGACTTCACGCCCCATTGAGTATTTTGTGGCTGATTGATTGTGCTATCTACTTCCTGGCAATGATTTTATGTCTGCTCCTCCATTTCGTATTGAGTCAACCCCTGAAATTTGGGAATGCCCCATAGCAGCACCAAGGGTCTGTATTTATTTTACCAGATGGGGCCTGGAGTGGGCCCCCATCTCTTCAGGCCAGTGCTAGTGTGTGGGTTTGACTTCATGCGGGAAAGATTTCATAATGCAAGTCCCGGTGATTTTGAGAGTGTGTTTAATATAGCTGGAGGGTGAAACAAAGTAAAACTTACTGTTGGAGAAGTAATAGGACCCAGCCTGGGCAGAAATATTGTTAACTCACTGAGAAATAAAAGTCACAGTAAAAGAAGTGTGTCAAGGTGGGCTACTATAGCTCACTGGAAGGTCTGAGAAAAGGGGAGACTTAAAGAAGTTTCAGGGGATAAGCTGTGGACAAGCTACTGCTGTCCATTGATTGCTCCCCTGCTTATAAGTCTTGTGGAGAGCCTTCGAGTTTCGGAGAAAAAGTGCAGAGGTACAAGGTGTGCCTTAGCAAGAGAACACAATGAGTTGTTTTCCTGAGACGTTTTATATTTCTTTGTCTTGCAGGGATGCTAGGGGAAGTCTCAGAGGATGTTACTAACAGTGTATCCATCAGCTTGCCAGATGTTTCCTTTCAAAATCGTGGCCTCCACTGATTGGTTGATGCCAGGGCAGGGCGGTCATTACACAAGGCAGCTGGTCTTGATGACACTCATGGCACCACTTGTCTGGTTTTGCTGCCTTTCTAACCTGGAGCTGAAACACAACTGAATTTTATAGTATTTGATGAAGGTGAAAACCTCATTGTCCTGAGGGCTTACTGCTTAAGGGCTGTTCTCTGGCCCTCTTTTTAGTTCCATTTCTAAGGGGCTCTACAGCATGAATACTGACAAGCCAGGGGAGGAAAGATAATGAGAAGGTATAAACTGCACACCGAGGGATATGAAAAGTCAGAGGGTGCGGTCCTTGCTTTCCCTATATGTCCTAATGCCAGGCCCTGGGGCTCCTTTCTCAGGCGCCCTTCTGCACCTGGTCTGTTGTTCTTGCTCTGCTCATGTGTGTAACTGCCTGCCGCATTTATGTGGATGTGTGTGTAATTGTGTCTCTGTGTATATATGCCTGTGTATGTGTTTGTATGTATATACATGTCTATATATGTGTGATTATGTGCATGGATGCGTAATGGCTTTTTTGTGCCTGTGCATGTCTGAATGTATTGAATTAGGATAAAGGACGCAGAGAGGCAAGCCAACTCCTGGCGTTCAGAAGCTTGCAAGTTGAGAAGTGATGCACTTGGACAGGATGACACAGGTCAGTGGAAAGGCATAAATGAAGAGGGAGTTCACAGAAACAGGACTCTCGGGAGACAGAAAGTCTGGACTGTATGTATCAGGCAGTTGTAAACAGGAGGGGAGGCTTTTGTTCAGAAGTGCAGTTCTTATCAGCAGGAAAAGGGCAGGCCTGGGATCAGAATATAAAAATGAATTGCAGTTTGCAGGCCCAGGGAAAAGCTTCCACTGTCTTCCAGGCTCTCAGAGCCAGCTGTGAATTGAATGGTGGTGGCATCTCCAGTTGTGTAAAAGAAAACTAACGTCAGTTTCCGAGCTTCAGGATGTTCATCAGCCAAGATTTCAAGTTAGCAAATGGCAAGATCTGTAAGTGAAACTAATTGAGACCCCATGTGGAGTCTGAAAAAAGCCTGGGTGAGGGGCGGGGTGGGAAGACCTTGGAGTCTTCTGAAGGAAGAAAATCATTAATAGCAGGGATGGGTGTGGCAGAGGGAAATAGAGGACCAGGGAGACCTGAAGTGTGGGGAGCTCTGAAAAATCGAAAAATCTGAGTTATGAAAGTGAGGTGATGCAGAGAACCAGGGTGGGCAGATGCCAGAGGAATATAGAAAAGAAGACAAGAGGGGAGAGGGCAAGATGGAAGGGGGAAGAGAATGAAGAAACTGTCCCTACTCTGAAGAAAGACGTGAATCTCAAGGTGCGGAAATATCCCACAGCGTTTGGGACAACTGTCCACATTTTAATGTTTTCATAGAAACAGAAGCTTCAGTCATATTTCATGCTCTTTAAACTGTAGGTCTAAGATTTCACAACAAAAGTCCTGGTAATTTTGAGAGCATGTTTTACCTGGGGATAGTGCAGAAAGAACGACTTGGGATGCAAGGAGCAACAGGATACAGCCTCCACTTTTTCACCCCCCCACCCCGCCCCTCATTTCTGGTGATCATTAAAATGTCCTCTCTATTTATGCTTCTGTTTCTGTCCTGTTTGTTTGCTTAGTTTGTTTTTAGATTCAGCATTCATAGATATGCATTTATTGCCATTTTATTGTTCATACTTTTGTTTTTCTTCTTTTTCTTAAATAAGTCCCTTTAACGTTTCATATAAGGCCTTCAATAACGCCTTGGTGATGATGAACTCCTTTAGCTTTACCTTGTCTGGGAAGCACTTTATGTGCCCATCTATTCTAAATGATAGTGTAATCTTGGATGTAGATCATTGCTTTTTAGGCCTTTGAATATTTCCTGCTGGTCCCTTCTTGCCTGCAAAGTTTCTTTTGAGAAATCAGCTGATAGTCTTATATGAACTCCTTTGTAGGGAACTCTCTTCTTTCCTCTTGCTGCTTTTAAGATTCTCTCTATCTTTAATCTCTGGCATTTTAATTATGATGTATCTTCGTGTGGCCCACTTTGGATCCAATTTATTTGGGATTCTCTGAGTTTCCTGGGCTTGTATGTCTATTTCCTTTACCAGATTGGGAAAGTTTCCTTTCATTATTTTTTAAAATAGATTTCCAATTTCTTGCTTTTCCTCTTCTCCTTCTGGCATCCCTATGGTTCCAATGTTGGCCCTTTTGGAGATGTCCCAGAGTCTTCTTAAACTCTCCTCATTTTTGTTGAATTCTTGTTCCTTCATTTTGTTCTGGTTGAATGTTCATTTCTTCCTTATGTTCCAAATCGTTGATTTGAGTCCCGGCCTCCTTCCCTTCCCAGCTGGTTTCCTGTGAATTATTCTTTATTTCCCTTAGTAGAGCCTTCATTTCTTCCCTTATCCTTTTGCCATAGTCAATGAGATCTTTGAGCACTCTGGCCACCAGTGTTTTGAACTGTGTCTGATGAGTTGGCTGTCTCTACATTGCTTAGTTCTGTTTCTGTTCTCTTCCCTCATTTGGGCCATATTCCTTTGTCTCCTGATTTTGGCAGACTCCCTGTGTCTGTGGACTAGGTAGAGCTGCTTTGATTATGTTTTAGCACGCCTGTTAAGTTATATGGGGCAGAGCCTTGGCTATTCACCAGGGTGGGGCAACTGTGGCTCTATGTGGGGGGGAGAGGTCAAAGAGGGGGCAACACCATTGCTGGCTGACTCCTGGAGGTTTGTCTGGCCCTTGCCCCATTCCCACTTATTTTACCCACTTCCCATGTGCTACTGGTGCACCTTCGGCTGCTGTCCTGGTTTGGTTCCCAGGGTGGGTTTGCCTACGTTCCAGACCCTGCTGAGAAACTGGCAGTTTCTTTTGCTGCCCCAGTACCTTCTGGTTTACAGCCAGAATTAGGGCATACAGCCAGAATCTTTTCCCAGGATTAGAACTGTGGGCTGCCCAGTCAGGCCTGAGGCTGGGCTTGCTCGCTAACAAGGTGTCTCCGTGATTTTCATCGACCACACAAAATGTGGGGCTGCCTGTTCTGCCGGCCACTGCCGCCTCTCTGCCTCTCTCCCTTCCCACCCCCAGCTCACCACAGCCACACTGTGTCCTCTCTGCTCTGATTTCCTGTCTCTGCCCTTCCTACTCGTCTGGATATAAGTTCTTTAAATTCTTGGTTGTCTGACTTCTTTACAGTTCCGGGTGTTTTTCTGGATGATTGTCTGGCAGTTCCAGGTGTTTTTCATTTTTAAGTTAGTTGTGTTCCTTCTTATGGTCGTGCAATGAGGCGAGGTAAGTCTACCAGTCTACCTATGCCTCTCTCTTGACTAAAAGCCTGATCCGCATTTCTTTTTTTTTTTTTAGCCAATATTTCTTTTTTTTTTAAATTCCTTTTTCTACTTGCTGTTCTAATCGGCTGTTTTTCCCTTCCTTATGTTCCAAATCATTGATTTGATTCTTGGCTTCATCCACACTACTGTTGATTCCTTGTAAATTGTTTTTTATTTCAATTAGTATATTCTTCATTTATGACTGGGTCTTTTTATGCTGTTGAAGTCTTCACTATGTTCCTAGAGCATCCTTATAACCAGTGATTTGAACTCTGCATCTGATAGATTGCTTATCTCCATTTCATTTAGCTCTTCTGGAGTTTTGATTTGTTCTTTCACTTCAGCCATGGTTCTTTATCTCTGCATTTGGGCAGCCTCCCTGTGTTTGTTTCTATGTATTAGGTAGAGCTGCTTTGACTCCGGGTCTTGGTAACGTGGCCTAAAGTAGTAGGTGTCGTATAGAGTGCAGTGACACAGCCTCCCCTATCACTCAAGCTAGGTCCTTGAGGTGCATCCTTTGTGTGGGCTGAGTACACCCTCCTCTTACAGTTGAGACTTGGTTGCTGCTGGCAGGTGAATGGGAGGGATATACCCAGGCCAGCCAGCTACAAGGACTGGCTGCAACCCCTGACCACGAACCTCCCTCCGCCCTCTGTGGAGGATCAGCTGTGCTTGGGCCCTCTCCCCAGTGCAAGACTTACTTCAGCAGGGCTCTGGTGCCCACTGAGTTAGCCCCTTGTGTTTGTCACTTGTGAAATTGGTTGGGTGGTGGTGCTCTGACATGGTCTGTAACTGCCCACTGGGTGGGCAGGGTCTGGCGTTTCTCAAGTGTGCAAGCCAAGTCAGCCACCACCTTTATTCTATTTGGGGCTACTTGGCATAAGTAATAAAGCAATATGCTGATGGCTGCTACTTGTGCCGGGCTTGGAGGTGCCCACGCAGCAGCCAGTCTTGGGGGCATAGCATCACTTGTCTGGCTTTGCTGCTCTGGGCTGGAGCTGAAACAAAACTGCAGACTAGATGTGTCTGATGCACATCTGAACATCATGGTTTTTAGGGCTTATTGGTTAAGGGCTGTTATCTGACCATCTTTTTTCTTTTAAAGATTTTATTTATTTTTAGAGAGAAAGGGAGGGAGATGGGGAGGGAGAAAGAGAGGGAGAGAAACATCAATGTGTGGTTGCCATTTATATGACCCCAACTGGGGACCTGGCCCGCAACCCAGGCATATGCCCTGACTGGGAGTCAAACTGGCAACCCTTTGGTTCCCAGGCCAGCACTCAATCCACTGAGCCACACCAGCCAGAGCTGACCATCTTTTTATTTCCACTTCTAAGAGAATCTACAGCATGAATATAGACATGCCAAGGGAAGAAAAATTGTGGGAAAGTTAAAATTGGATGACCAGCAATGTGAAAGGGCAGAGGCTGAGGTCCTTGCTTTCTCAGGTTTTCCTGTTAGAAGGCACCCAGGGCTTCTACTCTTGGTGACCTTCAGTACCTGGCCTGTCATCCTTGCTCTGGTCATATTTGTCTAGTTGCCTACTACAATTACATGCATGAATGTGCTATGGTGTGTGTGTGTCTGTGTCTATATATGTATGTGTGTGTCTATGCATATGTATATGTGATTATGCCTATGTCCTGTGTAAGTGTGGGTTTGTCTGTGTGTCTGTATGTGTTGAGCTAGTCTAAGGGACTCAATGTTGCAAAATCCAGGCAAACAGGAGATTGCACGTCGAAGAGTAAGTCTAAGTCTCAAGAACACAGGACACAGAATATGGGAAAGAGGGAGGATGACATCAGGACTCTGGGGAGACAGAAGGCCTGAGCTTAGGGGGTAAATATATTCAAAACAGGAAAATAGCTATGCGGCAGCGGGGGTATTGTTCAGAAATAAATTTCTTATAAACAGGAAAAAAACAGGCTTGGGACCAGGATAGAAAACATGCTATGCACCTTCCAGACCCAGAATAGGGTTCCTAGAATCCAGCTCAATTGTGCAGTTGCTGTCAAAGCCAGGTGTGGGTTAGGAGATGTGGCATCTCCAGTTGTGTGTAAAAAAGCTAATGTCGATTCCTAAGCTTCACGATGCTCATCAGCCTAGTTTTCAAGTTAGCAAAATGCCAAGATCTATAATTAGAACTAATTGAGGTCCCATATGGGGGCTAAAACGAAGCCTAGGCAAAATTATGGGGCAGGGAGAGGGATGGAGAATGAGAAGACCTTGGAGATTTCTGAAGGCAGAAGAATGGACTCGTAAAAAAACAGGGATGGGTGTGGCAGAGGGCAATAAAGGACCAGGAGACCTGGAGTTTGGGAAGCACAGAAATGTCTAAAAAATCAAGATAAAAATGAGGGGGCAGTGCTTGTGGAGGGTCAGGATGGGCAGAGCTCAGAAGAATAGAGAAAAGCAGGGGAAACAGGGCAAAATGAAAGGGGGAAGAGAATGAAGAAAGTGCCACTACCCTGAAGAAAGGGGCGAAGCTTGAGGTGAGGAAATATGTTTCAAGGCTTGGCATTACTTGTTGACATTTTTTTTTTTATGTAATCAGTGAGAGAGAAAAGGAAAGAAAGAGAGAGAGACAGTGATGTGAGAGAGAAACAGTCGTTGCTGGCTGCCCATACTGTCGCTAGATCCTGCAACCTATGTATGTGCCATTGTTGTAGGTGGGG